AAAATGACATTGCTGTTTCACTTTATGTGCCTCGCCCTGTATACTAAATGTATATATATTTATGCATGTACATAGATTCGAAAATGTTTATAATTCATTCCATTATTTAATTTATATAAATATAACAAATACGTATGTATAATTTTAATGTTTTATACTTCTGTGACAAAATTATAATTATTTTATAAAATAGTACAATTTGAACGACAGCACTATCATTTGTTGAAACAGTATCTAAACGTGAGAAGTTGCTGTTCATAGTTCTTTTTTTAACCGTAATTATTTATATTTTATCGATAATTAATTGTCATTATTACTTCATAATTGTCTGAAATAAATATTTTTCGTGTGTCAGAAAGTATGTTCCAAACAGCAGTTCCGAGAGTATATTTAAAAATATATTAATGAAAATGGCTTCTGCTGCAAGTAAAAAACTATGAAAATAACACTATAGAATGAAAACTATGTTATTTAAATATTCTACTGTTAGCGCTCAAAATAAAAAAAAAAAATATGGATGCTTGTTATCATTTATATATTGTATATACATATATATATATGAGAAATTTTAAAGCAATTTACGCCTTGTTACTTGAAACTCGGTTTTCCATGATATCGAAATAACTGTCTGCTAAAGAACAAGTTCTATAGTAATGCGACTATTACTTTCAGATAATAATATTCGAAAGGTATCGATTAGTAATCGACGATTAATCGTATAATTATAATTGAAACGAAAATAGAAATTTGTGTAGTGCGTTTTATTTATAATGAAATATAACGAGAACAAATAGAAATAAATCGAACTCTGTTGTTGAACTGACGTGACAACTGACTAGCAAATAAATCAAGGTTTCCCTTTCATTTCCTGTAATACAAAGACATATTAAATTGTATTGAAAACGTTATTACATACAATGCTGTTAATAGTATTTTTATAAATCTTAACTTATGTTTTATGTCTAATTATCGATAACCTGATAATATACTGTATAAATATATACGTCGACGATTTAATAATTCGATAATACTGAGAATGTGAACTTGTTTAAATATACAAATAAAGTAGCTTTACAATTTAATTTCATATTCTCTTAATTTTTAAATAGAAAACAGTTTCATTTCTGCTAATTCTAAGTTAACATTTCAATGTGCTACTTATTAAATAGCTTTATTGTTAATCGATACATAGACCTCTAAACATACATGTAGAATTACATCCAAATTACATTAATTAATAATGTGTAAAGTATTGTGCAAAATTTCATCTTATTTATAAAATGCCAACAATTTCAATATGGGTTCAAATATAAGAGTAACAGAAGACTTTCCCCATACAAAATCGTAATGAGTAAAAGTTTTCATTGATATTTCATCATGGTACACGACATTGGCAAGTTTCTTTTTAAGCCGTTCAACATCCTAAAATGGAGTAATAAAGTTTTGTTAATAGAATGACCAGCAGTATAGTATTATACGCATTTTATATTGTAATAGAATGATTTTTGTATAATTTTCTTACCTTAGGTACTGCAAGGAAGTCATCTATGCTACTAAAAAGTGCAACTGGTGCAGTTATTTTATTTAATTCATATTCTGGTGGTATAGAAGAATTGTACAAGCGATTATTCTTTTCCTTGTTATCGTAATCAAACTGCCTGAAGTGATCTAAAACATTCATTCAGATTTATAACATATATTACATTTTGTTGTAACATAACAGTTGCTAACCTTTATTTATATATCCCTGACCGAAGTGAACCGATTGTTTCCAAGAAGCTCCCGCAGGGACGTGGCCGATAATCACCGTCAAATTTTCCTGTTCAAATTAGAAATTTGCGTAAAAATCAAAAACTTGCATATTATTTAATTATTGGCAAATTCTGTATTATTATTAATCTGGGCTCGATATAAATCCATAAAAGTATCATTGTGTAATGGATAAAAAAAAATCTGATAAAAGGAGTACATATAAAACTTGACGAATTACAATTTTAAGTTTTACTTCAATTATCACAAAATTCAATTTGAAAATTAAAGGGGTGTGGGGTCAATTCTCTAGAACTCTTTTTGCGTTATCATTGGTTATCATTAGATTGCGGATCTTTATGCAAAATAAAATCTTGGCGAACGTGCCTACAAAAATTGAACCTAAATAGGAATTTATTTTATTCTGCAAGTATTATAACATAAACTTTACTTTCAATCTTTTTTATATTCTTGCATATTGTTTGCATTTTGTAGGTTCTCGCGTAGGTTCTCATTCAAACTTTCTATAAATCCATAAAGATCCGTAGTCTAGTTATCATCAAAGGTTACAATTCCTTGGTTATCATTCTCGATCCTGATTGGTTGCAGTACCTTGGGATAGCCTTGTAATCAGTTTGAATAAATACCGTTAGAAACCTCGTGAATAAGAAATAAAATGTGAATGGGTTATCGAAGTATTTTGCCAATAACTTTCGACCAAACAGTCGCGAAACTTAATAACAATTTAACATGTAATATAAGTGCTTACCGCACTCAATTCTGAATGGGTAAAGCCAGTCATCAGAAACAGCAAATGATTGCAGAAGAACTGCGTGGTCGACGTATTTGTGCAGAATATGTTCGATATGAACATTCCCCAAGCGGAACGTGGACGTAGTTCGGGGTATCCAAACATTTCTCCGATCCTCTGTAAAGCGAACGAGCTGTTTTAGTTTATTTTCCACTTTATTTTACATATTTTACATATTTATTTTGTGTATTTCTTTTCAAAACATTTTAGCACGCTTCACGCCGCGAAAGCGGTCCGTGAAATTGTTTTTCAAATTAGTAGTCGTTGTGATAGTTTAATTTCTTTATCATCTCGATATAGAAAGGGTTTTTAAACGCTAGCGGTAGTAACAGTATTAGAAAGGTTTTTAAAATACTAGATCTGCTATATTTCGTGACCATGATCGCTCTACACATTTGCGCAATCGGGTAAAACCGAAGGTGCAACTTACCACAAACGTGTACGTGAATTTAGCCAGTTTCGTAATCGGCCCGCGTATGTTGCCGGTAAACGCTACAGGTGCAAGGCCGATCATCAAGCCGATTTTCTCATTGTAATCAGGCCGTTGCGACATCGTTATCCAAAATTGCGTCGTTCCCTGCGAGTGGCCAACGTAAAACAGTTTCTCGTGTTTAGTTTGATCGAGAATGTAATCGATCGTTGCGGGAAGATCGTAAATGCCCAGCTCGTGATAACTGAAATATTCGCGTTGCAAAGAAAATAACGAAAAGTGTATCAAATACACGAACGAATTTTAGTATACCTAAAATCCCAAAATTGCCGATCTGCAGCCGAAAGCGAAGTATGATTTTTCGAGTAAATGTTTCCTCTGTTATTTCCAAGCCATACGTCGTATCCTGCATCGGCTAATATGTACCCTAAAAATAAAAAAATATAGTTTACAAATTTTCCGGGGGAATATGCCGATGGAGCGCTCGCGGTAGCGTATGAGCGCGGCCGCTCCTACGGCATACGCGCGTTCTGATTGGTCAGTGCTTTCCGTTAATATCTCCTCAACGAAGCTTCGGACAACATTTTCGCTAAGGAAAAAGTTGTTTCAAATCACCTTCCGAACCACCCCTTTCAAGGTGTTACAAAATTTTTTGGGACACCCTGTATATAATAAAATCTGCGAATGAAGTTGTTTTTCGATAATCGAATGATACAACTTTCTGTAAGTCCCCTCCTCGCCATACACCTCAGCTTGCATGCATGTAAATATAAATACCTAACGCTTTTTCCGTTCCCATAAGAACCCAATCTGCAGAACTACCCGCTAATCCGTGTTGCACTAATATCGACTGTCTCTTTGAATTTGTCTTATCCTTATCTCGTCCATACGGGATTCGATGAATTTCCAAAATGTAACCGTCCTCCGTGAGAACGTTGTGAACCTCCACCGGGTAGCCGTATTTCCTTATCAATTCCGGCTGTAAGTTCGAAAAATAAATAATACGATAACTACTTATTCATTTATAAGGAGGAATGATACTGTAACAGTTCCAAAGAGAGAGATATTTCTTTCTTTTTTTTCTTTCATGGTATTTTATTGAACGTGTAAAATAAAAACAAAAATATCAGACGAATTCCACACCATTTCTATTTAATTGAGAAATAAAATTTCAAAGCCCCCTTTGAGAAGTCCTTCGTAATCGTAAGCTTGTCGGAACGACAAGGAACAATTGACTTACTGTCGTAAGCTGAGCGTCCGGATTAGAAGATTTATTGGCAAGCGCGAAGAAATGATTCCAAATAAACAATTGAAAGACTAAGAGACCGCGTATTAACGACATGGTGTTGCGTTGACAATTGATCACAGATAATAAAAGCGTGGGTGTTTTATAGGTGACGACCTGCTCGTGAATAGATGATAAGATCCCCATGTAAATGTCTCGTTTATTATGTGCCCCCGACCTTTGTCACACATGTAATTTCGTAAATAGAAAGTACGCAAGAAGCAGATGAGCGGCATTTGTTACGTTCAAATAGAACAATGCGGTATAATTCAGTATGATTCAGTATAGTTCGGTGGTTTAGTATTGGTGAGAATTTTTACATCAGTGGCGCCATCGGTGGGAGTTGTAGCAAACTTAGTTGCTATTGTTGACGCTAGATGGCGAAAGTAGCTTTGGTAGAAGTTAGTTAATGGCGCCATCCAGCGCCAAACCGGTCAAATTTGTAGTGAAAATAGTTCTCATCATTATTGTTAGATGGAGCTATCAAATAAAGAATTCGTAATTATTGCTGCATTTACATACGTATAAGCAGCTAAATGTTTAAATAATATATTAATATAATATATTGTAATGTTACGAAGCAAGAAATCGTATTAATTATGTATTTATGAAAAATAAAGAATAATTGATTGAAAGTGGACGGTGGCGCCATCGTACAGAACTAATAGAAACTACTTTCACTACAAACTTAGGCATCTTCCCACCGATGGCGCCACTGTAGCTATGCTTTGTTAGGTTATGTTCGCTGATGATATCGAAACGATCGTGCAGTCTGTTGTAACCGGCAAACAAATACATTTTAATGTTTATAATCACTCGCAATACGCTTACCTAATTAATAATTGGTTTTTGATTTTTGTACCTTAAAACAAACGGAATCAAAATGGTAAGTGAAGAGCATTACTAAATATTCGTAAAGTTTCCAGTTCATAACCTTATTGATAGCTATTGTATAAGTGTTTAAGAAATAAAATGAATTGTTAATACTTTTTCCTTTAAATCTACTAAAATTGAATGAATTACGTATTATTATAATGGATATATTACTATCGATATAGTCTTATTTACATCCCAAACAAATTACATTTCTTTTTTCAGACGATTGGGAAGAACAATAAAATGCTACAGCATATAAACTACAGAGTCAGAATCATTTTACAAGACTCCAGAACGTTCATAGGTACATTCAAAGCTTTTGACAAGCATATGAACCTTATACTTGGGGATTGCGAAGAATTTCGTAAAATTAAACCAAAGAATACAAAGCAACCGGAGAGAGAAGATAAACGTGTACTAGGATTTGTGCTTTTGAGAGGAGAAAATATTGTTTCCTTGACGGTAGAGGGTCCTCCACCTCCGGAGGAAGGATTACCAAGAGTACCTATTCCTGGTGCTGCACCAGGACCTGGTATGGGTCGTACAGCTGGTCGCGGTATGCCTGCTAACGTCGCCGGAGTGCCTGCAGGATTACAAGGTCCTGTTCGAGGTGTCGGTGGGCCGTCGCAGCAGATAATGACACCGGGAGGTAGAGGTCAAGTTTCTGCTCCACCTCAGATGCATCCCGGTGGTCCTCCACGCATGCCAGTCGGAGGTCCTCCACCTGGGATGATGGGCCCACCACCAGGAATGATGGGTAACTTTCTTTTTATAGACTTTGTTATTCTCTCTTTAATTACACTTCTTTGCTCTACACTTTGATTTCGCTGAATGAAACTTCTGAGAAATAAGAATCGTTCAAATGTGATTACAGGTATGCCACCAGGTATGCCGCCCATGGGACGCGGGGGTCCACCAATGGGCCCACCAGGAATGAGAGGTCCACCTCCCGGGATGATGCGCGGTGGACCACCTCCTCGTCCATATTAACATTTCTTTAAATATACTGATGTATCGCTGATGGTAATAATAAAAGCTCTTTTGTATTTGCAATTTTGTTTCGCATTCATTAATAAAATTCTATTTAGATCTTACATGTATTTACTTCGACAAACAAAGTATGGAGAAGCGAATGAAAATGAGAATCGGAAATAAAATTTCTGTTGCATATTCTGTCTGATTGCAACAATGAAATATCTAACATTATATTTACTTTGAGAAACAACGACTCTTTGGGTTGAAGAGACTGGAGACTCTCAGATCTATTTATAAGACTAGGCTTCGCGTGACTAAACACATTTCTGTGCTTTGTAATTTTCACTTTAGATGCGGAAACATTCGAATCTGCTTTCGCAATGTTTACAAATGTTATACGTACGATTCATTAATTGTTATATGGCTTCGACTACTAGTCGTATACCAGTCAAAAAGTAGTATTATCATGCAGGTAATTACATTAATATTCCTACTTAGTTTCAAGGTGAACTTTAGTATTGGATGTTTACTATGCGCTATTTATCAGTAAGAATAAGTATCATGGAAAGTGTAACGAACACGACAGTAGGACGAGGACTTCCTAAGGCGGCGGGTCGTAGGACTGTCTCTCAGATTTTGAATGTAACGGATTCGCGATAAGTACACGAGAATGGAACCGAAAGAGGTGTACACTAAACAGAATCCCAATGAAAACGCGAATCCTATAAGTCGATTGTTCTTCGGGTAAAGAAAAATTAAATTGATATTTATGATTTAAATTTATCTGTAATTTAAGAATTAATAATTACGCGTCGCGTTACGTAATTATTTTAATTGGAACAACTGTATTTTAGATGGACGGTAAATTTGTTTCGGAAAGGTGCCAGCAAAAACTTGGTGATAACGGACCTCTATCACCCGCTTAAGGCAGACGAATCTAACAGACTCGGCGACCGACTCATGGAGTAAGCATTTATTATATTTTTCTTTATTCGATTCTGAGCTATTTAATAAAATAGAAGTAAAAGATACAGACACTTCGAATCAGTGTCCGTTTAATTAGCATTCGAATTTATTCGGTAACTGTTTCTTTTTCTTCTGCAGATCGTGGAAACTGGAACTGACGAAATTGACCAAAGAGAAGCAAACGTCGAACGATAATATCGATGAAAAGTCAAAGAAGAAAGACGTCCCCCGTTTGGAGCGAGCATTGCTGCGCGCATTTTGGAAGGAGTACTTTTGCGTCGGGCTGGTGTCGTTCTTCCAGCACGCGGTGTTCGCCGCGGTCCAACCGATCATCCAGTCGAAGATCATCAGTTACTTCAGAATCGACGAAAATGCCGCGTCGATCACCAAAGGCGAAGCTGAAATTTACGGTGGCTGCCTAGTCGTTTGCATCATGATTGTCGTTTTTCTGTTGCATCATGCCGATCTGATGTCCCAGCGGGTAGGCATGAAACTGCGTATCGCTGTTTCTGCCCTCGTATATAGGAAAGTATGTACTCGTTTATCTATTTACACGATCGAGGTAGTTGCTTCGAGACAGGCACGTTCAAAACTATAATTGTTTCCGCGCAACTGAACGTGGAGATGTTACAGATTTTCATTAATCGTATCTCGCAGTCGGCAACTTTCTAAATCGCGTTTTCATTTAAGAATAAAAATTCACGCGTAAAATCTGTACGCTCCATAAGAATTTATATCGTTTCTTGTAAAACTGGAGCGTCGAAATCGAAACAAGCTCCGTATGACTTATATTTAATCAAAGAACGGTCGAGCGAAGTTTCGTTAAAATCCTTTGTTAAATAAATCCACGGAACAAGGAAAAGTCCACGTAGCGCGAGAGTCTCTGGTCGCTTCCATTTTCCATATACTTAGGTGAAAAATTGTCTTTATTACTGAAAACGATACTTTGAAATTAACGCGTTCATTCGATTCAGAAAAATCGATCCGGTTTCGATGTTGAGCGTCTTTAATTCTCGACTCAAAAAATGGTAATTCTTGACTTACATAAGTCGTGCATTCGGTATCGATCGGAATAGCGAGCGTTGATTAGAATTGTCCTTCTAGCGAAACCGATAGCGTATTCAGCGAAAATGCATAGTTCTGTTTAATAATTATAATTCACGACGTACGCCGTCGTCGAGTTATTATCGACGTTTGAATTTTTTAACCGGGCTCTGTCGCTGTTACCTCACCTTTCGGCGTTAAAAAATGTGGCCCGACTTTGGAAATTTACAGCGGCAAAACGACTTCGTCGTTCGAAAAATTCTCGACGAAACAAAACAAGTGGGAACATTAGGCACATTTTCAGCGCGTTAAAAACGTAGGAAGTGGGTGTTTTCGTCAGAGTAGAATTTAATTCAGGCGCTAGGGAAATTATTACGGTGCATATACATAACAAATTCTAGTCGATAAGTCTGTTATTATTCGAGATATGATGACGGTGCAGTTTAAGCACCTACATTGTTGCCACTTTTTAGAAGTATATAGTATATAATAATAATCCATTTTCTGTTCTTTGTATACATATATATATATATATTAGGTTGTCCCAAAAGTTTCTTTCGCTTGATTAATAAGTATTATCAATAAGTATACATGCACAATAGTTTATGCTTTATGTTACATTACTGAATTGTGCACGATTCATTTTGCCCCATTACTGTTACAACACGAATATCCATGAAATTAGATTGTCTATTTATAGAAACACGACCACATAAAATAATGTAGTGCAACTCGCGAAAGAAACTTTCGGGACAACCTAATATATTATTAACATATGCCAATCGATTGTTTCACGAAAGGAGAAGGATGTTTGAGGTTTCTGGAGATCCGACAAACGGGATTAGAATTATCTGATAATAACAAGGCAAACAGTAAAGTTCTAGCCGACTGAGTAAACTTTCTCGAACGCTTTGATAAGAGAAGAACCCTAAAACTGTAAAATAAGATCGGTTTCGTTAACTGGATTTCACAATTCCAGGTTCTTCTATTCTTAGACGTTTATCACGATGACTTTCATTTAGCGATTCTGTAATTTTAGAGATTCGAATTGCAGGTTCTGCGGCTGAGCAAAAGAGCATTGACTCAGACGACGTCGGGCCAGATCGTCAATTTCCTCAGCAACGACGTCAGCCGATTCGAGGAGCTATGCTACTATTCGAACTTCGTTTGGATCACACCGTTCCAAGTAACAGTTCATTACAGTTTCACGCGTTATTGTTTAAAAGTGCTTGGACAGTAAACGCGCTCGTTAATGCATGTAGAATTCCAGCGTTAACTTTCAAGTAATTTGGAAAATGGTCCACAGGTCATGATCATCGGCACGATAATGGGGCTCAGGATAGGAATTTCGAGCCTGGTCGGTATAGGAGCCCTAGTCGCGATGGCAGTTCCGGTTCACACCATCTGCGTTCGATTGAGTCGTATACTGCGAGAGAAAATCGCCACGCTGACGGACACGAGGGTGCAATTAATGAACGAGCTTGTAACTGGTATAGAGGTAGACCAAGAAGAAAAAAAAACAAATTGTTATATCATCAAGAAGCTCACGATTCATGCTAATTAACTTACATTAGCTTATCGGTAGACTTCTTGCTAGGACAACCAATATTTTCTTATGCACCTATTATTATACGAATTAGGAAATATTACTGTAGTATTCGCGCCTACTATACCCAACGATAAAGAGTCAAACGAGAACACGAAACGTAGGCTACGGGATTGGTCGCGTAGATAAAGCGGTCGACTGTGGATCCGAGGATCGTGGGTTCAAATCTTTGTCACCTTGTTTTTCGTTTAGACTCCTACATTATATTAAGTTGTCCCGAAAGTTTCTTTCGCGAGTTGCACTCAATTATTTTATGTGGTCGTGTTTATGTAAATAGACGATCTAATTTCATAGATATTCATGTTGTAATAGTAATGGAGCAAAATGAATCGTGCACGATTCAGTAATGTAACATAAAACATAAACTATTGTGCATGTATTACTTATTAATCAAGCGAAAGAAACTTTTGGGACAACCTAATATAAATATTGAATGATACCGATGATGTCAAAATAGAAAATATTATTGAATTTCATTATTTGCCCCTACCCTGTATACAGTACAGCGTTGATGCACTGCTCTGTGTACAGTATAACTATAAGTTTATCAGGTATTAATAAGTATCAACAGGAATAACTAGACTGCGGATGATGGTGCCTACAAAAATTGAACCTAAATAGGAATTCATTTTATTCTGCAAATATTATAACATGAACTTTACTTTCAATCTTTTTTATATTTTTGCATATTGTGTGCATTCTGTAGGTTCTTGTACATTCAAATTTCTTATAAATGGATAAAGATCCGCTGTCTAGTAATAATAATTTCTGATTGTTGCTGTAGGTAATCAAAATGTACGCTTGGGAAAAGCCATTCGCGACTATTCTGGCCATTATACGAGCCAACGGAATCAACGTAATACGCCTAGCGGCCTACGTTCGCGCCGTCTACCTGTCCATCGTAGTGTTCGCCAACCGTACTGCGCTCTTCTTGACCCTCGTTACATACGTTTTAACTGGAAACAAGATTCTGCCCGAGACAACGTTCATGTTGGCGACGTATTTCGAGATGCTCCAGCTCACGGTGACGTATTTCTTCCCGCAGGCTCTGATTATAGCCACGGAGACCATGGTGTCCATCAGAAGGATACAGGTCTGTACTCGAGGATCCATTGCAACAATCATTCAAATCTACACTCGAGGATCCATTGCGAATCTGATTTCCTAATCTAGAATTCTTCTTGTTTTTTTTCAGCACTTTTTGCTGCTGGACGAGCAGTCGAGCGAAGAATCGCTGGCTGCCCTAGTTTCAGAGACGAACGGTGTCTCCAAGTTCACGCCGAGAAATAAAAATAAACAGATCGTGGAGTCCGTCAAGATGACGAACGGTTACCAAACAAAGACGTCGAGCGATATCGAGCACGTCGAATCCACGCCAGTTTCTGTTCTACTGAAAGGCGTATTCGCTAACTGGATACCGGAACAGCTGCCGCCAACTTTGTCCTACGTCACGATGGACGTG